CTAAGCCACGGGGCCGGCCCTCCACTTCTGAGGCTGCGTCTCTCTGAACATCCTCCCCAACCTTGAGGCCTTCCTACTTTTATATATGGCAAAATATCCCACACTGTTGCATCAGTGTTAGCCCAAAGCCCTCTATCCATTTTAACCGCTGAGTTACAGACCCAGCTGTTCCTAGCACCCTGTTTAACCAGTGGCCAGTTATCTTTCCCACCATAGCAGCAGCCTGAAGACATTTTCATCTTCTGCCTTCCGGGTCTCTAGTCTCCTCAGCTGTTGGTCCACTGAGAGGTGTTTAATATCTCATTAGCACCTCTTTGCATCTCAGCGTGAATCCCCTAATCTCTTAAATTCTCTCAGTACAAATCCCTCCTCCCCAACCAGCCCAGCTCCTAGAGTGTCCCATGTGGGTGGTGGGAAGCAACGAAGGGACTGGGAAAGGGACAAGCCTGTGTCTGCCTTGCTGCTTCCGGGGCCCATCACTTAGGGCTGCTGCTGGCCTCAAACAGCGTCAAGCCTCATTCCTGCCAGACAGTTTGAAATCCTCCACAGTGGGCAAGAATTTAGTCAACCCGCAGCCGACTGTCTATGCCCTCTCAACGCTGGAGTATGAGTCTACACAATTCCCTTGTCTTGCAAGAGGCAACCTGCCAGCAGGGGGTACACTTCCTCCCTTCCTCCTAATAGTCAGCCCTAAGCCCCCCACGCCCTGGGCCGTTTTAAAGGAGTCACAAAATTAATCACCCCTTTTCTATGGCTTATGTTTTCTAACATTTTATTTTGAAAAGTTTCAAACAACAAAATTGAAAAAATTTGACAATGAACACCCTATTACCCAGCACCTAGAGTCTATGTAGATTCTACCACTGATACTTTTTAGCATCTAAAAAATTGAGATATACTTCACACAACATAAAATTCACTTTAAAGTGAATTTAAAGGTGTATACTTTTGAAGTGTACACTTCAGTGGTTTTTAGTATATTCACTATGTTGTGCAAACACCACCACTATCTAATGCCAGAACATTTTCATCACCCCAAAAAAAAACCCCTATTCATCAGCAGTTAGTCCTAATTCTCCTCTTCTCCCATTCCCTGGCCACCACTAAGCTACTTTCTGTCTCTATGGATTTGTCTGTTCTGGACATTTCATATAAACGGAGTCATACAACATGTGGCCTTTTGTGTCTGGTTTCTTTCACTTAGCATGATGTCTTCAAGGTTCATCCACGTTGTAGCATGTGTCAGTACTTCATTCCTTTCTATGATGAATAATATTCCATTGTATGACCAGACCACATTTATTCATCCATTCATCAGCTGGTGGACATTTGAATTGTTCCACTTTTTGGCTATTATGAATAATGCTGCTATGAGCATTTGTGTACAAATCTTTGTGTGAACATATGTTTTCAATTCTCTCAGGTATATACCTAGGTATGGAATGGCTGGGTCATACAGTAATGTTAACATTTTACTATACATGCTTTATCGTATATCTACCTGTCTCGATCATCCTTCTATTCATATATTATCCATCTCACATTTCTGTGTACTTGAGAATAAATTGCAAACATCAGTATGAAGCCAGGTACCTGAGGGTTACTGTAAATATTCACTAAGACCTTTCAACCTGGTTCCCAACACAGACACAGATGAAAAGAAGTTAATCTTGTCAATTTGCTGTTTTCTTGTTTAACCTGAGGGGTGACTCAAGGGTCAAAAGGATTTATGAGCTTGTTTCACTGAAGAAAGAGAATGCCTTCAAGGAAGTTACAATCACCAGATAACCAGCCTCCAGCTGCCCCTTGACGCACAAAAGTCAGATTGCCCAAGGGCTTATCTGGAGTGAAAGAAATACAGATTACCCCTTTGTTTCTCTCCTCCTGCCAAGCTCCTTAGCTCTATAAAACCCCCTGCTTTCTTCTCTTGCTAAAGTGGATTTGAGAACCTATCCTTCCACCTTCTTGTTTTGGCCAATTTGAATAAAACTTTCTCCATCTCCAAGCACCCACTGTCTCAGTGACTGGCTTACTGTGCATCAGGCACAAGAACTTGAGATTAAGAGGTTTGGTATGAAGGACAGCTCACCCCTAAATTCATCAGCATGTCTATTAACTAGAATTCAATATTTGTTTACAGTTTTTTCTTTTCACGTAAAATTTACATACAATGAACTCTAAGTGTACAATTCAATGAGTTTTAACACATGCGCACACCTATGAAACCCAAATGAAGATATCAAGATAAAGAACATTACCACCACCCCCTAAAGTTCCCTCAGGCCTCTTCTGAGTCAGCCCTTACCCTCATTCCACCCAGCCCTCTCCAAAGGCAATCAGTCTTCTGATTTCTTCCCACCATAAATTAATTTTGCCTGTTCTGGAACTTCATATAAACAGAATCATATGGTATGTGCTCTTGTTTGTCTGGCTTCTTTCACCCCACATACTGGTTTTGAGATTCATCCATGTTACTGCATGTAGCAATACTCCTGTCCCTTTTGTTGCTGAAGAGTATTCTGTCATCATCATCATTGTACGAATATGCTATAGCTTATCCATTCACCTGTTGATAAACACTTGAGCTGTTTCCAGTTTACGGCTTTTATGAATAAACCTGCTATGATCATCTGCCTGCCGGCCTTGAGGTGGACCTATATTTTCATTTCTCTTAGGTAAATATCCAGGATTGGAACTGTATCATAGGATAGGTGTATGTTTAGTTTTGTAAGAAATTGCCAGATCTTTTCCCAAAGTGCTTGCGCCATTTTTCATGCCCACAACAATGTATGAGGCATACAAATTTTGAGCTGAAGAATAAAAACACAAATTGCTACTAATTATTTTCATGTTAAATTTTTAAATAATTAGGTTGAGAATATTCTAGTTAATGAATGGCTGCCTTGACCATACTCTCAAATAAACAATGATATAAAATGAGCCAATGCCGGGGCTGGCCCAGTGGCGCAAGTGGTTGGGTGCGCGGGCTCTGCTGCCACTGCCCAGGGTTCGCTGGTTGGGATCCCGGGCATGCACCGACGCACCGCTTGGCAAGCCATGCTGTGGCAGTGTCCCATATAGGGTGGAGGAAGATGGGCATGGATGTTGGCCCAGGGCCGGTCTTCATCAGGAAAAAGAGGAGGATTGGCAGATGTTAGCTCAGGGCCGATCTTCCTCACAAAAAAAATTAAAAAATAAAATAAATAAAATAAAATGAGGCAATGCTTTAAATTTACACAATGTTATATATCAAATATGTTTCAATTAAAAAATAAATAAAATGAGGTGATGACCTTTTCATGATAAAAAACACTCAATAAACCAGGAATAGATGGGTGCCTCCTCAACCTGATAAAGGCCATCTATGAAAACCTACAGCCAACATCATACTTAATGGTCAAAGACTGAATGAATGCTTTCCCCTAAGATCAGGAACAAGGCAAGGATGTCTGCTCTCACCACTTCTATTCAACATTGTTCTAGACGTTCTAGCCAGGGCAATTAGGCAATAAAAATAAAAGGCATCCAGATAAGAAAGGAAGAATTAAACTATCTCTATTTGCAGATGACATGATCTGATATATATAGAAAATCCTAAGGAATCCACTAAAATGAGGTGATGAATTTTATGACACACTGTAGAGGTCCCATTTCCAAGATTTAAAAATTCATTTGCTTTCTTCAAACTGCCTCTTCCTTTATTCTCACATTCTTCCCCCGACACTTGACAAAAATAAGCCCAACACTTTTTTTGACAAGTTCCCACCTGTTCCCTCCATCCTATCCCTCCCTAAAGGTTTGCTCCAGTAATTATCATCCTTGGAACTGCCCACGAAGGCCGCTGTTGCTACTTATCGGGATCCCCAGGCTCCAGTCTCTTCCTCCTGCACTTCTTTCTAAACCCAGCTGCTCCCCTGCTCAGCATTTTAAAGTAGCTCCCTTCCGCCTGGCTTGTGTTTTTGTGTGTGTGCTTTGTGGCTTTTAAAACAGCTTTTTTGATGTACAATTTACATATAAAATTCACTCATATTAAGCGAACATTCAATGATTTTTAGTAAATTTACTGAGTTGTCCAACCATCACCATAATCGGGTTTTGAACATTTCCATCACCCTGATAATATCCGCCCTGGTTGGCTTGTAAAGGCTGGACCACCAAAAGTCTACCTACAAGTGTAGTGTCTGGAAGTTAGGTCTGAATAAAGGTCTAAAACCTGCAGGTAACAAGACAGTAAAGGATCATTTTTCTGCTCCTCTTCCTTTTAAAAATGAAGTCTTGAATAATTATATCTTGAACGGTTAAGCTGGCCCATATCTCCATTTCCATCCAAACAGCTCACCATTTTCCTCTCCTGCTACCCCCTCAGAGAGGATATTCCCCTACTGGGCGGAGGCAGTCTTTTTTTAAAAGAACTGTCTAGCTCACAGCCCCTCCCAAGACTAGCGACTTCCTCCTCTCCAGTAACGCCAGCCCCAACTCAGGCCCCCATACACCCATGCTCCTGATCAAGAAACATTAATCTGTGGCCTTTCTCTGCCAATTCCAAATCCGCCACCCCCATCACACCACGGGGGCCCCTTCTTCCTTTCCATCCCTAGCAGCCTCGTTTCCCTAATCTCCAGATACCTAGCTGACTTCTCTCCATCCTCGCCTCAGTCACCTGGTCATCACTTCCCAGACGCTGGCACTGGGACCTCAAAATTGCAAATGCCAAAACCAGACGAGCAGACGCGCCTAGAAAAGGAGAGCGTGCGGGTGTGTGGACGTAAGTGTAGGTGCTCGTGTGTGGAAGAAACCAACAGAGTCCACGCCGGTGTACGTCTTGTGAAAATACCAATCACGCCTGGCTGAGAGAGGGAGGATCAGCTCCCCAGTGCGCCCCCGCAGACAGCATTCAGAGCTGTGGAGCTCAGAGGGAACAAGGCTTCTCCCTGGACACCGGCCCAGCGGGCGCCCCGCCCCCCAACGCTACAGCGCACCCCCACGCCGGCGCGGTGGTCGGGCCCGGCGGCGACGTCACCCATTGTTTACAAATCAACCCGAGCCGGTAGGATTCCGGCTCCCGCGGCTGCAGGCGCGCGGCGCGAGTGCCCGGCGAGTGGTGGCTTCCGCGTCCGCCCCGGTCCCGGCTTCGGCTTCAGCACCGCGCCCGGCTCCGCCGCGGCCCACCGAGCCCCGCAGGCAGCCGAGCTGCCAGCGACGCCCGCAGAGCTCCGGGTGCCCGGGCGGGGGGCCATGCCGTGCCGGAGGGAGGAGGAAGAGGAAGCCGGCGAGGAAGCGGAGGGGGAGGAAGAGGAGGAGGACGACGACAGCTTCCTCCTGCTGGAGCAGTCGGTGACGCTGGGCGGCTCGGGCGAGGTTGACCGGCTGGTGGCCCAGATCGGCGAGAC